GGCAATTCTCCTGCCTCAGCCTCCTGAGTAGCTGGGATTACAGGCACACACCACCATGCCCAGCTAATTTTTTGTTGTTTTTAGTAGAAACGGGGTTTCACCGCGTTGACCAGGATGGTCTCGATCTCTTGACCTCGTGATCCACCCGCCTCGGCCTCCCAAAGTGCTGGGATTACAGGCATGAGCCACCGCGCCCGGCCACAAGGAAATCTTGAAGCTTAAGGTACGAGCTAAACTAAAATCTATGACAGGCGGGATTTTTGCAAGTGGGAGTGGAGTTGGGGAGCAACTGCCAGGGTACAGTAAGACGGGAGCAAGGCCTCTACCATCCAAGATTCCTTCAGAGGTTTTCTTTACACTAAAGTGTAAATGACTGAGAAGGACTAAATATGTAACCTATTTAAATTGTGCTTGCATTTTACATTAAAGCCTTCAACTAAGAAGATGCACCATTTTTCTTTCTTCTTCTTTTTTTTTTTAACTGAGATGGAGTTTTGCTGTTGTCTTCCAGGCTGGAATGCAGTGGTGTGACCTGGCTCACTGCAACCTCTGCCTCCTGGGTTCCAGCGATTCTCCTGCCTCAGCCTCCTGAGTAGCTGGGATTACAGGCATGCGCCACCACACCTGGCTAATTTTATATTTCCAGTAGAAACAGGGTTTCACCATGTTGGACAGGCTAGTTTCAAACTTCTGACCTCAGATGATCTGCCTGCCTCGGCCTCTCAAAGTGCTGGGATTATAGGCGTGAGTCACTGTGCCCAGACTGCAGTCTTAATGATAGAATTTCAGGCATTTCCTGAGTTAGAAAAAAATATAATGGTAATGAGAAAACAAATAAAACTGACTCATCCCTCTCACTCTCTGTTCAGTTTTCAAGTTTTCTCATGTAAGAATCATGCATGAGGCTGGGCTCAGTGGCTCATGCCTGTAATCCCAGCACTTTGGGAGGCTGAGGTGGGTACACCTGAGGTCAGGAGTTTGAGATTAGCTTGGCCAGCATGGTGAAACCCTGTCTCTACTGAAAATACAAAAAGTTAGCTGGGCATTGTGGCATGCGCCTGTAATCCCAGGTGCTCTGGAGACTGAGGCAGGAGACTCACTTGAACCCAGGAGGCAGAGGTTGCAGTCAGCCAAGGTCGTACCATGGCACACCAGCCTGGGCAACAAAAGCAACACTCCATCTCAAAAAAGAAAAAAAAAAAAAGAATCATGCATGAATATACCAGCTCTGCTGTGCAAATATTTTCCTTGATCTGAGGTCAGAGCCAGGCCTCAGGCATACATGATCACTGCACATCCTGCCAGCAGGCCATGTACTCTCAGTGTAGGCTTGATATCCATCTCTGTTCAGTGTGCTGTTATATTTGAGGTGTTATTTTAATCAAAACTATGTTTTTTTTAAAAAAAAAAGAAACAACCTTATTTTTTGCAAAATGGTTCGCAAGTAATAATAACAGCAGACGCTTAGCTAGTGTATACTGGAGACAGATTCTGTACTAAACGCTTTGCATATAGTTGCCCCCACATAATCTTTCAAAAGAACACTATGAAGAAATTTCTTTTATAATCCCCATTTACACATGAGGAAACTGAGGCAGCTGGGTTAAATAAGTTGCTGGGAAGTTAAGGAGTTAGGATCCACTCGGGAGGTGGGGGTGGGGGTACATGGCTTCCCTCTTGCCGGAGGTTCCTATTGACCTGCCAGTTTCCAATCCTGATGACAGTGGCTTCTGAGCTCCTGAAGCTTCAGAAATGTTTACATTTTATTAGTGTAATGATAGTTTTCGGTATCTAACCCATAGCAGTGCTTCTCAAACCGTAGGAAGTACTAATTTGATTTTATTTTTAAAAATTTCTGGCCAGGCCCAATGGCTTACGCTTGTAAAGCCAGCATTTTGGGAGGCCGAGGTGGGAGGATCCCTTGAGCCCAGGAGTTCGAGACCAGCCTGGGCAACATGAGACCATCTCTTAAAAAAAAAAAAAATTAGCTCGGTTTAGTGGCTCACACCTATAGTCCCGGCTGCTATTCAGAAGGCTGAGGCAAAAGGATCACTTGAGCTCAGGAGTTTAAGGTTACAGTGAGCTTTGATCGTGGCACTGCACCCCAGCCTAGGTGACAGAGCAGGACCCTCTCTCAAAAAAGAAAAAAAGTGTCCTAATCATTGCATACAAACAATTTGATAATTGCTATAAGAGTTTCTAATTCCTCTCAATTTCTGTAGTTACCTTGTGCAGATGAATAGTGAACACTTTGCAGGCCGACACTAGTTCAAGGATGGTATTTTGATGGGCACCAATACCTGGTATCAACAAAGCAGCTTCACGCTTTTAAAATTTCATTTCATTTGTTCAATACATATTTTTTAAGTACTTACTACATAGCAGGCACCCAAGTAGGTGATACAAATTAAGTAGGAAAAAAGAACATCAGGGTCTTGGTAAAGTTAACATTCTAGCAGAGAAAGCAGTCTTGAAACAAGTCACTGAAAACTAATTAATTTTTATAATTAATTATAAAAATAAATACCACTGGGTGTCATGGCCCACACCTGTAATCCCAGTACTTATGGAGGCTAAGGTGGGTGGCTCACCTGATGTCAGGAGTTCAAGATCAGCCTGCCCAATACAGTGAAACCCCGTCTCTACTAAAAATACAAAACTTATCCAGGTGTGGTGGTGCGTGCCTGTCAGCCAAGATTGCACCATTGCACTCCAGCCTGGGCAACAAAAGCAAAACTCTGTCTCAAAAAATAAAATAAAATAAAAAAAATTAAAAATAAATGCTAAGGAGAAGATCAGAATACTCAGAGTTCCTACTGAGGTGCCCAAAGCTAGACTGATGGGTAAGGGAATGCTTCTCTAAGGAACCCTTCATCTTAGAGCTGAAGAATGAGCAGGGGCTGCAAGGGGACAAGGAGGGACATGGGGAGAGCCCTGGAGCACAGAGACACCCAGGAGGCTGGAAATCCTGTCCTGCAGGTCTCTGAAGCCCATGCCAAGGACGGTGCATTTTATCTCAAGAGCTACGGACATCTCCTGAAGTGTTTTAAGCCGTGGGTGGGCAAAATGGTCAGATTTCCCTTTTAAAAGTCATACTTTTACTTTCCCAATAAATTAAACACAACAGATTTTCATAATAATGGTAACAGGGAACTAACAATTCATTACAGAGATTTTCACATATGAACAAAAAGTTTGGGACTGCTATTCTATTGCAAGAGTTATTTGTGATTCCCGTGGCTCTACAAACACAGCCTGCAGACAGCCACTCATGTCTCCAAAGAGGTCGCTCTTCTCCTTCTGCCTCCTCCGCTCAGTCCCTGCCATCCTCTAAGCAGCATCTTAAGACGAGCGGCGGTGTGAGATATGTGACCAAACTGCACCCAGTCCTCTTCTAACAGAACCACAATTCAGTTCAGGCCAGCAATATTCCCAGGAAAAACTCATTTCTAAGCCTACTAAAGGTGACCATGTGACACAGTTCTGGCCAATGGGAAGACAGCAGAAATCTGCTGAGCATTCAGGGAAACCTTTGCTTTCCAGATGAAAGGAGGCCGTCTGGCTGCTCAGTCCTGTCCCCTTCTTCCCACCTTAAAAATCAGTGGTGATCCCAGAGGAGGTGGTGCAGCCATGTTGCCACCATGAGGCAGCAAGCATGAAGATGAAAATCCAACGTGGTAAGGTTGGTGGGACAGAAAGAAACTGAATCTTTGAGGACTCATCCTGGACTGTCCGCTTATGTTCATGTTACATGAGAAAAATAAACCCCTATAGGCTGAAGCTGCTGTAAGTCTGGTTTTCTGACGCTTCAAGTTGAAAGTAAGTGAGCTTCTCAATTGGAAATGAATGGTCCACAAAATCAGATCAACTTGCATAGCGCTGTATTCTCCCCGCTGTGGCTGTTCCCGTCTTTGAACATTTAGATATTTCAAAGGAAAAAGGGTTTTCTTTTATTTCTGACACCGCTTCACCCTTCTCACCAGGAGCTGTAACGGGATAAGCAGGCTCTGTCATGCGCCCTTTGTTTCCTCAAAGAGGAAGGCCGGCGACGAGGCTTCTTGTGGAAAATGGTGATATACTACACCACATCAGAATGTGCTGTTCTCATTTATTTTTTAATACAAACCCATCTTTGCATGTGGGCACTGGCAAAGAGTTGATGGTTACGAAATATTGGGTGACAGTGGTAATATGGGAGGTGACACATAGCAAAAGAATCTCGTCTTCAAATTACACAGAACGCAAAACCACTGTGGTTCATGACATAGCTCCCACATTTTTTCCATATTTATCCAGCGGGGCTCCAGTGAATTGGCTGGTGACTTCCGTTTGTTAAGTGAGTGTGTAAAACTCCTGGACAGGGGTGTGTGAAGCAGTGTGTAAAAGCCACGGTCCCCGGCCTGCTGCCGCTACCTGAGGTCCATCTCCCTCTGCACCACGAGCTCTGTGGAGAAACAATGAAAACAGTTCATACAACATCCAGGGAAGGAGTTTAGGGAGTAGTTGTCAGAAATGATGCACGCTACAGTTACTGTATTCAGTGCCAGAGCAATTCATTTATCTTTACAGACACACACAAGCAGAAAGGGTGAATTCAAAGGTAGTCCACCAGGCAGAGAAAACATTGCAATTCGAAACACACACTGTCAAGAAGCCCATATGTCTGCACTGTAAAGGGCTTTTTTAAGATTAGAAGCTGTCTTTCAAACACAGCAGCTTCTTCTAAAAATAATTCCATTTGATCAGACAAAGTGGGAAGAATGCTACTGGTTGGTATCTCGGGGGCAAAGATAGAATCAAAACAGAGTATAATCTCTCATGCCTATAAAAGGGCCCCAGGAAGGACTATTCATCAAAGAGGAGATGTTTTAAAGGAACACATACTCTATGAGAATGGCCAAAGAAAAATAGAAAATGCTAAAATACACGCAAAATGAAGCCTCTGTGGTTTATAAGGAGGCTGAAGTCTCACTGATGGGGTCTGGTTTAACTCTGAATTAACAGAATGAAGCTGAAATCCCCCTGACCTTGAGGCAGCAGCTGAAGACTTCAATGTATGTACATTTTTAGTCACTCAACTTTTGTAACATCTGGAGCGTGATTAATGCCCTAAGGGGTTTAAGAACTTCTGTTGGCACTAATAGTCATTGGTTGCCACTGAAAAGTGGTTCCGCTGCCAGCAAAACAAATGGTCAGGCATTTAAAGCCCCTCTCAGGGTAGAAAAGGGCATTCTGCCAATTTTAGTTTCCTCTTGGAAACCATGTGGTCAATTTTCCCAACTATGTTTGAACTTCACTGGGTTAGATGGGCTTCCTGGTATTTCAAAGAAGTTTAGAAAATCTTTGGAAAGTCTAAAAGTTTCAAGATCATAATTTGGAGAAAAAGAAATATTATCAATATATGTGAAGAAAAATACCTTAGGAAAATTCAAAATATTAACAGCAGTTATATGTGGAGTAGTAGAATTACTACTTCTTTACACATTTTGCATTTTCCAAAATTTCTATTACAAGCATACATTATTTTTGTAATAAAAAACTTTATAAAATACTTTTCAGAAGAAAAAAAAAATGTTTCAAGACTCCTTCAAAAACCAGGCAGCCTTCTATAAAGAAAAAGGTGAGTTAACCCCGGCACGCTGGCTTACGCCTGTAATCCCAGTGCTCTGAGAGGCTGAGGCAGGCGGATCACTTGAGGTCAGGAGTTTAAGACCAGCCTGGCCAACATAGTGAAACCTCATCTCCACTAAAAATACAAAAATTAGCTGGGCGTGGTGGCACACACCTGTAATCCCAGCTACTCGTGAGGCTGAGACAGGAGAATCGCTTGAACCCGGGAGGCAGAGGTTGCAGTGAGCCGAACTCACACCACTACACTCCAGCCTGGGTGACCGAGCGAGACTCCTCCTCAAAGAAAAAAAAGAAAAGAAAAGAAAAGAAAAAGGTGAGTTGGATTCCACCTTTGCCACTCACTCGAATGTAACCTTGGTATTAGAGATAAGCTTTATAAGATTAAATTAAATAAAGTACCTGCAGGGATGCAAGGCATATTGTAAATGCTTAATATATGTGAATTACCGCCATTATTCCACCTCAATGATGTTCAACGTTCAAAACAGTATTCGGAGTGCCCCAGATGTAGAATTCTATTCTGATGGGAAATTTATCTGATTTTTTTTTTTTTTTTTTTTTTTTGAGAGGGAATCTTGCTCTGTTGCCCAGGCTGGAGTGCAGTGGCACAATCCCAGCTCACTGCAACTTCCACCTCCTGGGCTTAAGCAATTCTCTGCTTCAGCCTCCTGAGTAGCTGGAATTATAGGCACCCACCATCGTGCCCCGTTAATTTTTTTGTATTTTTAGTAGAGATGGGGTTTCACCATCTTGGCCAGGCTGGTCTTAGACTCTTGCCCTTGTGATCCACCCGCCTCAGCCTCCCAAAGTGCTGGGATTGCAGGTGTGAGCCATCATGCCCAGCCTTTACCTGAATTTTTAAAAGGAAGGAAACTTTCCTGAAAACAGGATTACAGGATAGTCCTTTTATATTGCCAAAGTGTGGAAATTCTTCCTTTCTCTCCAACTCCATGGTAAGGAGGAAGGCAACATGATGAGAAATGTACACAAATTGATTGGATGCCACTGTCTGGGATCAGAATCTGGCTTCCTTTCACCTCCCATTGGCTTCTAGACAGATTAAAAATGCGAGACTCTCATGACCACTTGTCAGGGATCCCCATGCCTGGGTCAGGTGCAGTGATGTGGGTCATAGCAGCTGCCATTGCCACAGCTGTTGGCCATCAGCCCTGGCAGGGGCTATTTTAGGTTTTACTGAGTATTTCTTGTCCCACTAGCAAAGCTCTGAGAAATGCTTTGAACTATCCAAAGACCAAAAGGCCCTCCCAGCCTCCACTCTTTTTTTTTTTTTTTTTGAGACGGAGTTTCACTCATGTTACCCAGGCTGGAGTGCAATGGCGCGATCTCGGCTCACCGCAACCTCCGCCTCCTGGGTTCAGGCAATTCTCCTGCCTCAGCCTCCTGAGTAGCTGGGATTACAGGCACGCACCACCATGCCCAGCTAATTTTTTGTATTTTTAGTAGAGACGGGGTTTCACCATGTTGACCAGGATGGTCTCAATCTCTTGACCTTGTGATCCACCCGCCTCGGCCTCCCAAAGTGCTGGGATTACAGGCTTGAGGCACCGCGCCCAGCCCAGCCTCCACTCTTAAGAGACCAGCCTTCTGCTAACTTAGCCTCAATGAGGATAGGGTTTCTCTCCTGCTGGGCAGAGACTGTCTTCCACTAGGCCATGGCTTTCAGGGAACAGCACCATAAACTTCCTTTCTCCAAGTCAAAACCTTTTGGAAAGATTTTCTACTCAATTTTTCTAGTCGTTCCAGCTAAATATGTCTAGTAATAACTCTTTCCCTGCAGTGAGGGTGGTGAATCAGTGTCTGAAGAGTTGAGGAAGAATAATACTAGCTAGCATTGATTACACTTACTCTGTGTCTGACGTTGAGCTAAGCAACTTCTATATTGCTATGTATATGTCTCACAACAACCTCATGAGGTAGATACAGTTATTATTACTATTTTATCGAGTACTGGCCCCAAATTGCTGTGACTCCACAGCCACCTTGTCGAATATACAGGCCTAGGAGCATCCTCTGCATTCTCTTTCTCTCTCATAAAATTTATTAAATGACTACCAGTTAAAAATGAGCAGGTTTGAGCCAGTCAAGTGCAGTGGTTCATACGTATAATCCCAGCGCTTTGGGAGGCCAAGATGGGAGGATCACTTGAGCTCAGGAGTTCGACAGCGGCCCAGCAACCTAATGTGACCCTGTGTCTAAAACAATTTTTTTAATTAGCTGGGCATGGTGGCATCAACTTGTGTTCCAGCTATTCTAGAGGCTGAGGCAGGAAGATTTCTTGGGCCCAAGAGTTTGAGGCTGCCATTATCCTGCCACTGCACTCTAACCTCGGCAACAGTGAGACTCTGTCTTAAGAAAATAAAATAAAAAGAGTAATTTGGGATCTTTACGTATTCAAGGGAGCAAACTTTGTCAAATCATTTCCATTTACTCCCACTCTTCCACCCCACTGATCCTGGTTACTTTTCTAGATGATCTTGCATCCAGGTTCCAAACATGATTTCTTTATGTCATGTCCCTAAAGACTGATGCTCTGAATTGTTGGCCTCAGTTTTCTCCTAAAAGTTGTAATATTCTTTTTTATGGCCTGGGGAACAAATGTGCTTCCAGAGTGACCAAAAGATAGGATGGGATAAAAAAAAAAACCGGCCAGAACCATATGCGCTGAATTGTTTAGTGTAACGAGAGCCCTATGGAGCCCATTATTCATTTATCACACAGGCATCCCTGGGCAACAGCTGACAAGTGCAAAACAACGCTCTGCACATTACCCGACTGTCAGGACACTCGATTTGGGCCAGCCATGGCAGCCCCTTCCTCCATTCTCCCTTCCACCCCCATCCCTCAAAGCCTGCTCACGGCAAACATATGGGAGCCATTCAGGCTAACTGCCTCCTTTCCAATGTCCGAGTTATGTTGACAACAGGGGATTTACAACTGCCCCAAATGGAGCATTGTGTTTTCTTTTGGATTATTCCAAGTTTGGGGCCCGTTAAAAGTTTTGTAACTACATAAATATTTATCCAGAGCTTTTGGTTACTATATAAACATAACAAACATGACATTGGACCTAAATGCTGTAAGTCACATAAAAGTCTTCCAGTTAAGAAAGGGGCAAACTAATAAAGGGCTTCAGAAATGGTTATTTTTAATTGTGAAATATTTTTACTGCTATTTTTTATGCTGGGTTTTAAAAAGACCAAAATATGTTTATCCTCGACTCTGTGTGACTCTTCAGACCATCAGCCAGCTTGCTTAAGCATGCTCCCGGCCTGCAGAGACATGGGAGAGAACGTGGATGGTGCAGTACAATGCTTCACCTTTGTGAATATGCTCAGGCCAACAGCTGGAAACTTAGGATGAGAATTGCTACTCTGAGCTTTGTCACCTTCGAAGGCCGGAGATATTATTTTATGTTCAAATGTTGTATGTGCATATTTGTTAGTAAGTTCTGGTTGACGCTTATGGATGCTAGGTGGAAAGAGCTGAGACTTTTAATGCACAGATATTAATTATTAAGGATAGACGCTAAAGTACTGAGACTTAGGAAGGCTCATGTTGTTAATGAAAATCTTGGGGGGAAATATTATAGTGCGTTATTTTCATAACCCCTATGTTTGCCATGAAGTTAGCCCTCCAGATCTAAGGGGTGAAATTGAAATTCAGGAAGTGTGTGTGTGTGTGTGTGTGTGTGTGTGTGTGTGTGTGTGTGTGAAGTTCATGTCCTTCAGAGCTGTTAGGGTTGTCATTTCTCTTTTTTTCTTTTTTTAAGACAGGATCTCGCTTTGTTACCCAGGCTGGAGTGCAGTGACACAATCATGGCTCCCTGCAGCCTCAAACTCCTGGGTTCAAGTAATCCTCCCACCTAAGCCTCCTGAGTAGCTGAGACTACAGGTACATGCCACAACACCTGGCGATATGGTTTGGCTGTGTCCACACCCAAATCTCATCTTAAATTCCCACGTGTTATGGGAGGGACCCAGTGGGAGGTAATTGAATAATGGGGGCAGGTCTTTCCTGTGCTGTTCTCATGATAGTGAGTAAGTCTCACGAGATCTGATGGTTATTATAAGGGAGAGTTTTCCTGCACAAGTTCTCTGTTTGCCTGCTGCCATCCATCTAAGATGTGACTGGCTCCTCCTTGCCTTCTGCCATGATTGTGAGGCTTCCCCAGCCATGTGGAACTGTAAGTCCAATTGAACCTCTTTTTTTTTTTGTAAATTGACCAGTCTTGGATATGTCTTTATCAGCAGCATGAAAATGAACTAAGACATCTGGCTAATTTTTCTTTTAAATTTTTTTGTAGTTATAAAGTCTCACTATGTTGCCCAGGCAGGTCTTGAATTTCTGGCCTCAAGTGATCCTCCTACCTTGGCCTCCCAAAGTACTGGAATTATAGGTGTGAGTTGCCATTTTTGGCCTCTTTTTCTGCTTAAGGAGGCACACACATAACTTTGGTCTTGGAGGAAGTTTCTGGCTGAACTCTCTGACCCTCTGTAGAAAGCAGTAGGTCCAGGGAGAAAGCAAATTCCTGGGTTGCGTCCTACTTCCTCAACCCTGGCCTGGCGCCATCTCCTACATCATTTTTCGGCTCTCCGTTACCTTTATCCAGTGGATAAAGTAAGGTGGGCCCTTCTTTATTCTTTGCAGCAGATCAGACTGGAACCCGGAAACTGGTTGTTTTTCTGTTTGATGGTACTTGGTAAAAGGAAGCAAACCCTGTAGTGTTGACTTAAGGTTAAATGGGCAGAGTGCTGACTTTCTGTGCTCTGGCATGATCTTATCTGCTGGAGATAACAGAGGCAGGCCCTGGGGTCTGGTAGAACACGGCGCTGCGAAGCTCATACAGCTCTGCAGGGCCTTGACACGACAAATGCTGGAGACTTCATTTCTTTAAAGGACTTAGCTAATGGTCAATTACTATTGTTAGAGTATTATTATTCCCATTCTGTATATAAGCAAATGTTGACAGAAAATGGTTTAATGACTTGCTCCAAATTTCATAGCACACCAAGATTATAGTTACAGAAAAAAATACTAGAATTTCTCATTGTCTTTTCTTTTTTTTTTTTTTTTTGAGTCAGAGTGCAATGGCACAATCTCAGCTCACTGCAACCTCTGCGTCCTGGGTTCAAATGATTCTCCCGCCTCAGCCTCCCTAGTAGCTGGGATTACAGGCACCTGCCATCATGCCTGGCTAATTTTTTTTTTTTTTTTTTTTTTTTTTTTTTTTTTAGCAGAGACAGGGTTTCACCATGTTGGCTCTAACTCCTGACCTCAGGTGATCCGCCCACCTCGGCCTCCCAAAGTGCTGGGATTACAGGCAGGAGGAGCCACCGCTCCCAGCCTAGATTTTCTCCCAGCCTAGAATTTCAAACCCATGCTTTAGCAGGGAGACTCAGCTGTAAATAAACATGCTTTAAATGCACAGTAGGAAAATCAGAGAAAATAACATTACAGAATCTAGCATCTTTTAGAACCTTTGGATGGAAGTTTCTTTTTTTATTCCCCCTGTGTACTGTTTGACAGCTTCACTGCTAACATTTTAACTCCCCCACTTCTGTATGCACCCTCTAAGAGGTGATGAGTCATTTTCTTTCCCTAAGGACGTAAGGGGCAGAGAGGTTAAGAATTTAGCCCAGGACACATTTTTAGAGGTAGAACTATGACCAGAAGTCCTAGATATCCTGACTTTAGATCAGGGCTTTTCTCACAATGCTAGAAACTGACTGTGTGAGTTCTGAGCAACTATTACATACCTGCACGGATTTTAAACTGTGCTGGGCCGACTTGCTTTAGCTAGAATGGTTTTCTCAAGTCCCCTTCTTTGTATGCCTCTGGGTGAGTGTTGGCCAAAAGAGAAATTTGTGCAAGATTAGGAAGGTGGAAGTGAAGCAACAGCCACTACTCTCTGAAGGTCACTGTGGTTTGACACTATGGTTGGCATGGTTGGCAGGTGCAGGGGTGCTGGTGGGTTCCAGCTTGTTCAGTTTCCCATTCCACATCCAGCAACTCTTCCTAAGATCATCAGTGTGGCCGGGCTCTCCATTAGACACAGACTTTTCTATTTTTTTTTTTTTCTTGAGAAGGAATCTTGCTCTTTCACCCAGGCTGGAGTGCAATGGCACCATCTCGGCTCACTGCAACCTCCACTCCCTGGGTTCAAGCAATTCTCCCGTGTCAGCCTCCCAAGTAGCTGAGACTACAGGCATGCTCCACCATGCCCGGCTAATATTTTGTATTTTTAGTAGAGATGGGATTTCACCATGTTGGCCAGGCTGGTCTCCAACTCCTGACCCCATGATCCTCCCACCTTGGCCTTCCAAAGTGCCGAGATTACAGGCTTGAGCCACTGCGCCTGGCCAGATACATAGGCTTTTCTACCGAGTCTACTTTCACAGTCCCACTTCAGCAACTAGACATGCCTAGCTGCCCATATTCCTTGGCAAACATTGGTCCGTCCACATCAGTGGTTCAGGAAGACTGGTTTGTGACTGATCCTTTAACTCCCTGTCATGCACCCTTACTTCCCCAGCTTCTCCCACCATTGCCTAATGTGTCTTTCAATACTTACGCATGATTCCACTCCCCTGGTTGGGTCCTGACAGAGAGAATACCAACATGGGCTGGGCATGGTGGCTCATGCCTGTGATCCCGACACTTTGGGAAGCCAATGTGTGAGGATATCATGAGGGCAGGAGTTCGAGACTAGCCTGGGAAACATAGCAGGACCCCGTCTCTAAAAATAAATAATTTTAAAAGGGAGGGAAAAATAGAATAAGCAACATGGTGCACCATGAGAGCTACAGAAGAAATATAAGAGAGTTCCTGCCTTCAAGGGGCACATGGCTATTGGGAAGATGGAGCATTTTAACACAGCCAGCTGGGGACTCATGCAGCTTACGTTAAAGTGACAAACGCACGATGCAGTCATTGCAGCCCATGGTGTCTAATGTCTCTTAGTGCCAGACTGATTGAGAGCTGATTGAGAATGGTTGCAGTCAGCATTTTCCATGACCAATGGCCACATTTAGACCCAAGTGGAGACAAACTTTTCCCTCCTCTGTTCCAGGATTTAAGGATCCTTATCAGCATAAGAATGGAAGCAAGTTACTTACATATAGGGCCACAATATTGAGTGCAGATGAAAATAAATGCTGACATTGAAATTTCCCATCCAGCCAGCAGAAATTTCCCTGGCCTGCCACACTTGGGTAACTTGAGTTCTGGAATTCCAGACTTGGTTAACCCCAACCCACAAACTTGCTGGAGTTATGAAGCTGAGTGAGAGTACTGTTCTTCTCCTTGCATTCCCAATATGTTCCGTTCTGAGCCAACACTACAGAATTTATTTCCCCTGAAAGTTTAACCTACTGTATGGAGTGATCATAGCTCTCTGTTTTTTGGTACTTACCAAAAGCTTTTCACAGTACAAATTTTATATCTGACTTGGCTGGAAACTTCCCCAGTCACTCAGTCTAGCCGCCTCATTTTGTTGGGCCTCAGTTTCCTTCAAAAACTTACCTCTTTGGGTAGGTGCTTGGCTACTAATCCAGGTAAGACCGCTGAATGAAAGGTGATATGAAAGGGCACAAACGATCTGGATACTTATCCCCTGGGGAAGTCCAGGCCTCAGGCCACAGCAATGCCACAGCTTCTGGAAGCTGCCTGGGAACTGAGGTTTTATTCTCCTGTGTGTGTCTACATGCCTGGAGTGTTGACTCTGGAGACCTAAGAATACAGTAAATGACATCATAGGCAGCTCAGTACAATGAAGATTTATTTTTAGCTATGAACCTCTTCCGTTAAATGATCTGAATTTAAAAAGAAAGAGGACAGGAGAAAAAAAAGAAATGTAGACGGCAATGAAAGAGTATAAGATTCCTGTTTGATCTTAAAAAGCACCAGAGCGAAAGTCAAGTACAGCTTTCTTATTTCTTTTCAACTTGAAAGACGTTACAGGGGAAATGTATGAAGAGTGGCGGATATGCCCTCTTGGGAGAATTCCGTTCCTTCCCTGCAGTTACTCATTTTGAGAATGTGGCTCCCAGTGTCTACAGTGGATGTGGGCCCATTTGTCCCTGGGCTTCTTTTTCACTTTATTTTATTTTTTGAAATGGAGGTTCACTCTGTCGTCCAGGCTGGAGTGCAGTGGTGCAATCTCAGCTCACTGAAACCTCCGCTTTCTGGGTTCAAGCAATTCTGCCTCAGCCTCCCGAATAGCTGGGATTACAGGCGCCTGCCACCGTACCCAGCTAATTTTTGTATTTTAGTAGAGACAGGGTTTCACCATGTTGGCCAGGCTGGTCTCAAACTCCTGACCTCAAGTGATCCGTTGGCCTCAGCCTCCCAAAGTGCTGGGATTACCGGCATGAGCCACCGCACCCCTCCTGGACTTCTTTAGATTTTACTTTTCAGTAATCTGTCCCTGTTTGTTGTGGTGTCTTATGAGCCAATGTCTAAAGGATCCCTGCTGACTCCCCATTTTCATGCTGTACTGAGATAGGACAAAGAGAGAAAAGAAGACGTGGAACTTTGGGAGGCCAAGGCAGGAGGATTGTTTGAGCACAGGAGTGCAAGACCAGCCTGGGCAACATAGTAAGATGCCGTCTCTACAAAAAATTTTAAGCATTAGCCAGGCATGGTGGTGTGCACCTGTAGTCCCAGCTACTCAGGAGGCTGAGTGGGGAGAATGGCTTGAGCCTGGCAGGTTGAGGCTGCAGTGAGCTGTGATCGCATCACTATACTGCAGCCTGGATGACAGAGTGAGACCCTCTCTCAAAAGAAAAAAAATACAAAAAAAACAAGAGGCCAGGGAGCAGGATCAACCAGAAAGCTGGGTTGCTAAGTCAAGGGAGGGAATGCAGAGAGTGCCAAAAGATGGAGAAGGGGAACACCCAGCTAACGGCAGTGCTCCAGGGAAGAACCTCTAGAAGGATTGTAAAATGTGCTCAAACATTTTGTGGTGGCTTGTTGATATAGATTACACTTCAGGGCTGGGGTCCAAAAACATCAGCCTAGCTGTCTTGAAAGCAATGGGGAATATCTGGGCAAATCAGGACAACTGCAGAAGTAGCATGCTATCATAGCATCAGATAGTCAGGATACCTGGGTTCTAGTCCCAGTTTTGCCATTAAATCACTATGTGGCCTTTGACAAGACACTTGGGCTCAATTTTTTTCTCTATAAACAGAGAAGTTTGGACCAAGATAGGAGTCTCCAAAGTCCCAAATACTTGCCAGAGGACCAAAGCTGGTGGTGTGTTGCAAGCCAAGCCTGGCCTGGGCCCTCCTGCTCCCTTCCTACACCCTGCACAGTCAGCTACACATCCGGGCAGGGAGGGAGGTACTCTTAAAAGCCTTCTGCCTTCCCAGGCTCGGGTAAAACATATTTCCACTTCAAACCCCAAATCTCAGTGATCTCAAGACCTCAGAAATCCAAAAGTAACTTCTCAACCCAAAAAGGATGCAAATTCTAGAACTCATTTCAATGACCCTGAGACTTCTCTCCGTTCTAAAATTCTGGGACGAGGGGAACCATGCATCAACCCTTGACCAGGCATCAAAAATGTCATAGGAGTGGAACAGAAAATATGGTCTAATTGTCAGAAACTGTATGTCTAGTTGAAGGAAAACAAACCATCAGCAAACATCAGCCTGCCTTTCCTCTTTAGCTACAGCCCCAGCTATTGTTAGGACCTTGGACTCAAGGTGAGCTGCTCCAGAGATGCACTTTCTAAACTGAAGGTGCATTTATAAAAACGAATGATTACATGAGATTCTGCGTGTGTGTGTGTGTGTGTGTGTGTGTGTGTGTGTGTATTTTTAAAGACTGCTCTGATTGAAACAGAAATGGCCCAGCGTTCTGGCCACCCATGCATCCTCCTTGCTTTCGTTGTCTTAGTATCTTAGGAAATGACACTGAGGGGCTTGATGTCAACTCAAAAGATTTCCTCCAGAAGAGCTGGGTTCCAAGGAACCCAATTTGAGATACGGGAAGTAGGGCCCAATGATGATATCGTCAAAGCAAAACTAGGGCCACTATGAACACTACAATGATGAAATCATGCTCCAGGTCACACCAGTGTCAGATATGAGCTGTGCTCCTAAACTGGGCTGTAATTATTACAGAGGCTTGTGTGTCACCTGATTTTTATTTTTATGTTATTTGACTGGCTGTATATTATGATCGATGGAGTTAATAACACAAATCCCAATTACAACATGGTTACCCTGGAAAAACATCATCTGCTTTACGAAGCGGTTGCAAGGAATGCATTGCTACCAAAAGCACTGGTGGGAAAAGGCCCACCCTGGCCCAGACACAGCCACAGAACAGCACTGCAGGGACCTGGACAAAAGGCATGAACAGGGGCTCCCTGGTCACAGCACGGCTACCAATAGCACCCAGTGACCAGCAATTTTCTCTCTACTTCTAGTGAAATATGAAGGAAGAGTGAGGTGTGTGAACCAAAAGACCCAGAACTGCAGCTCAAGATTAAATTATGAATGACATTAAAAGGAGCTCTGGGCTGGACGTGGTGGCTCACACCTGTAATCCCAGCACTCTGGGAGGCCAAGGTGGGCAGATGATGAGGCCAGGAGATCGAGACCATCCTGGCTCAAATTAAAACCCCGTCTCTACTAAAAATACAAAAAATTAGCTGGGCATGGCGGCATGTACCTGTAGTCCCAGCTATTCGAGAGGCTGAGGCAGGAGAATCGCTTGAACCCAGGAGGCGGATGTTGCAGTGAGCTGAGATCGTGCCACTGCACTTCAGCCTGGGCAAGACTTTGTCTCAAAAAACAAAAAACAAAAAAAACCAAGCTGTCAAAAATACAAAAATTAGCAGGGTGTGGTGGCGCAAGTCTGTAATCCCAGTCACTTGGGAGGCTGAGGCTGCAGAATTGCTTGAATTGGAAACCTGCAGAACAGTGGTTGCAATGAGCTGAGATCGTGCCACTGCAGCATTCAGGAGCCCATAATCCCAATGCCAGATGGGCAAATGGGTCTCACTATGTTGCCCAGGCTGGTCTTGAACTTCTGGCCTCAAGTGATCCTCCTGCCTTGGCCTCCCAAAGCACTAGGATTATAGATGTGAACTACTGCTTCTGGCCTCCACCAGCTTTTTTTTTTTTTTTTTTTTTTTGAGGGGGAGTCTCACTCTTTCGTCCAGGCTGGAGTAAAGCAGCGACATCTTGGCTCACTGCAACCTCCACCCCCCAGGTTCAAGCGATTCTCCTGCCTCAGCCTCCTGAGTAGCTGGGATTTACAGGCATGCGCCACCACAGCTGGCTAATTTTTATATTTTTAGTAGAGACGGGGTTTCACCATGTTGGCTAGGCTGGTCTCAAACTCCCTCCTCAGGTGATCCACCCACCTCAGCCTCCTTAAGTGCTGGGATTACAGGTGTGAACCACCGCGCCTGGCCAAAAGAAAACTTTTTTAAAGGCAAGAAATCACAAATTTAAGAGAGTGATTAACCCTGGAGGAAAGAAGAGAGTTACTGGTAATGTTCTGATTCTTAAGTTGTGGGAGGTGGTTTTCATATGTTTATTCTATTATTAGTTTATAACTTACAGATAATTTCATATGTATGTATACATGTATGTAATACTTAAATCTGTTCAATATTACATAAAACTAAAATCGACATAACGATAAAAACATCTAATGCACTGGCTCAAAAAACATCTTAAGCAAAAGATATTTCTTTCCCTCAAAATAGAGATTTCCATCAAAGTCAACAAAAACGGACTAAAAAGGAGAGGAAGAAAAAGAACAGCCTGTCTAGGCTGTCGTCACTGATTTTTTTTAAAGAATTGACTACATGGATCAGTATTTATTGTCATAGTTGGTAAATGAATCAGGCAAGACCCATGTTGAGGCGTAGACTGTTTTCTCCTAGGATCAACCTTTGAATGTTAAAGCAAAAAAAGGTTCCAGAATAAATTCACCCGAGTTAGTAACAGACCACGTTCCCTGTCTACTTTTGTAGACTAAAACAGATTGTTTTCTTCAAACTATATTTTTACACAAATCCATCTTTACCAGTAGGAGTGTAGCATGCACCACACTGGACCAGGTTCTTTTGTGAACACAATTTTTTTTTTGAGACAGGGTCTTATTCTGTTTCCCAGGCTGGCGTGCAGTGGTGCGATCTCAGCTGGCTGCAGCCTTGACCTTTTGAGCTTAAGTGATCCTCCCACCTCAGCCTCCTGAGTAGCTGGGAATACAGGTGTGTGCTGCCATACCCAGCTAATTTTTAAATTTTTTTGTTTGTTTGTTTTTGTTTTTTTTTGTTTTTGTTTTTTTTGTTTGTTTGTTTTGTTTTGTGTTTTTTTTGAGACGGAGTTTCGCTCTTGTTACCCAGGCTGGAGTGCAATGGCCCGATCTCGGCTCACCGCAACCTCCGCCTCCTGGGTTCAGGCAATTCTCCTGCCTCAGCCTCCTGAGTAGCTGGGACTACAGGCACGCGCCACCATGCCCAGCTAATTTTTTTTGTAGTTTTAGTAGAGACGGGGTTTCACCATGTTGACCAGGATGGTATTGATCTCTTGACCTCGTGATCCACCTGCCTCGGCCTCCCAAAGTGCTGGGATTACAGGCTTGAGCCACTGCGCCCGGCTTAATTTTTAAATTTTTTGTAGAGATGGGGTCTCGCTATATTACCCAGGCTAGTATAGAACTCCTGGACTCAAGTGATCCTCCTGCCTCAGCCTCCCAAAGCACTGGGATTACAGGTGTAAGCCACCAGGTCCAGCCAGTGGACACAATTTATTTACTGCTATCACTCAAAATTCAGTTGAAATGGATGTATTCTTTAAACTGAATATAAGCAGTGGCTTTCAGGCATGAATTTTGCTCAATAAATCATGGGGTATTCATGATTACTTATTAGTTAGAATAAAATAAAACTAGCCACCTAGCAGCCTGGGAACTCTATCTGCCTAAGGTAATAAGCATTACTACATTAAAGCAAACTTGCCTGTCTTAAAAACCATCCCTAGTTCCAAGGATTTACTGGAATACAAGGATCAATTATGAACTGTTGGGCTTGCAAAGGTAGAACAAGCCTTCATTATCTCTGTGCTGTGGGTTGAACTGTGTGCTCCCCTCACCCACCACCAGTTCACATGTCGAAGTCCTAAGCCCAGTACCTACTTGAAAGTAGGGTCATTGCAGATGTAATTAGTTAAAGTGTGATGAGGTCATACTAGAGGAGGGTGGGCCCTGGATCCAATATAATTGGTGCCTTTATGAAAAGGGGAAATTTAGCTGAGTGCAGTGGCTCATGCCTATTATCCCAGCACTTTGGGAGGTGGAGGCAGGAGGATCACTTCAGCCTAAGAGTTTGAGACCACCCTGGGCAACAAGGTAAGACCCTACTCATAGAAAAGATAAGAAATTAGCCAGGTATAGTGATGCACAGCTGTAGTCCCAGCTATTCAAGAGGCTGACACAGGAGGATTGCTTGAGTCTAGGAGGTCAAGGCAGCAGAAAGCTATTTCTGTGCCACTGCGCTTCAGCCTGGGTAGAAGAGGGAGACCTAATCTCAAAAAAAAAGTTGGGGGAACACAGACACATGCACAAGCAGGATACCATGTGACAATGGAGGCAGAGACTGGGTGATGCGACAGAAGCCAAGGAGCACCAAAGATTACCAGCAAACCAGTACACCACCAGGAGTGAGAAGAGAGGCCTGGGACACATTCTCCTTCTCAACCCTCGGAAGGAGCCAACCCCGCCAACACCCGCATCTTTGACTTCTGGTTTCCAGAACTGTGAGACAACAAATTAGGTTGTTCTAATGTCACCGGTCAGGTCCAGGTCTATTCTGCCTGTGCACAGTAAATCAATCACTGTGACATGGGTTTTCCAAAAGAAAAAAGATTTGTGAGGCCACCAAGCTAGAAGAACAGTTCTCAAATCTGCCTCCCTGAAGATAAAGCCTAGGGAGATATATATATATATCTGTATATGTATATATACATGTATACACACATATATACACACATATATACATATATACACATATATATATATTTTTCGAGACAGAGTTTTGCTCTTGTTGCCTGGGCTGGAGTGCAATGGTGTAATCTCAGCTCACTGCAACCTCCACCTCCCGGTTCAAGCAATTTTCCTGCCTCAGTCTCCCAAGTAGCTGGGATTACAGGCGCCCGCCACTATGCCAGGCTAATTTTTGGTATTTTTAGTAGAAACAGGTCTTTGCCATGCTGGCCAGACTGGTCTCAAACTCCTGACCTCAAGTGATCCACCTGCCTTGGCCTCCCAAAGTGCTGGGATTACAGGCATGAGCCATTGTGCCTGGCCAGTCCTCTCCTCATTCTAACTGGCTCTCTGTGCCAGAACTGTTTCTTGTCCTCATCCAAAACCTCATTTTTCCTTCTCATTACAGATTCCTCATGCCCCCAAATAGAACTGTTTTATTTTGAGGAGTCTTCACTTCAGATGAAGGCTGCTATGTAGACAATTCTAGAGGAACAACTGCCCTCTGAAGAGGGCGAGAAGGTGTTCTCCCTCTTTCTTCACCTCCATGCCTGTCCCCATCATGGCTTTGAGACAGAGGGGCAGAAGGTCACTTGGCCCCCTTAGCTTTTGCTGCTTCTGCTGGGGAGACCAGCTAAAGTGTCCATGAGCATCAGCTGTGTTCAGTGTGATAAAAGTTTATTTACATTAAAAACAGGAACATTACGTTAATGGTATATGCCTATAATTCCAGCACTTTTGGAGGCTGAGGTGGGAGGATTGCTTGAGCCCAGGAGGCCAAGGCTGCAGTGAGCCATGATCATGCCAGTCTGGGTGACAGGGTGAGAAAACAACAACAATGAAACACAGGAATAGGGTCCCTAGTTTAGAATCGAGATAATTTGAGTTTTGGAACAGACTTCCAAGTCCCAGGTGGCCTAGGTCCAGTTATTCTAGATCCGGTTCCCTGAGCCCTACCTGTTTCTAGCCCTCCTCACCCCAAAAGGTTAAATTCTCGATTTAAAAAGTGATTTTGAAGAACCAGTAATTCTCTCCTTCTGGTGCTACCAAAAGTGAATGAATGGCTCATTGTTAAAGAAGTCATTCCACTGAACAAGGCAATCTCTCCTTTAAACCAGGCTAGGGGTATTGGACCAAACATTATAATTAAGTCAAGTATTCATCTGCATTCCTTGTTATGTAGCCCAGTGGTGTATTCAGGTCTTTCAAATTACTAAATTTTTGGGGTCCCATCAACATTATTTGCCTTTAATACAATGAATTTATAAATGAGGAGGTAGTAAAGTATCGCAAAACTACCTTAATTTTTTGAAAGGGTACAAAGACACCTGAGATTTTTGAGAACTGAGACATTTTACAGGGAAAAGTAGCTAGCAGCTTCCTGCATTGCTAAGAGTATTTGCTAGAGTTTAGGTTACCAGTGCAATTATGCCTTCAGCACATACCTAAATCCTATTTATCCACTTATCATTCCTACTGACTGGTGAGTGAGAAATACAGATATAATTTACTGGCTAAGACAGTCCTAAATAAGTGGAACAAAACAAGATATTCTAGAGAAACAATAAGTAATTGCCTTTGATTTCTAACGCTGTGGTCAGGGAACTTGAGTTGGTCCTAAGTTTAATCTTTCGGTGGGAGAAAAAAAGCACATCACTAGGGGTCCTTAAACTTTCTGCTAGGAGATGTTACTTTAAAGAAAAACTATGGTAGGGCCGGGTGCAGTGGCTTATGCCTGTAATCCCAGCACTTCAGGAGGCCAAGGGGGCAGATCACCTGAGGTCAGGGGTTCGAGACCAGCCTGACCAACATGGAGAAACCCCATCTCTACTAAAAATACAAAATTAGTGAGGCATGGTGGTGCATGCCTGTAATCCCAGCTACTTGAGAGGCTGAGGCAGGAGAATCACTTGAACCTGTGAGACGGAGGTTGGGGTGAGCCAAGATCATACCATTGCACTCCAGCCTGTGCAACAAGAATGAAACTCCGTCTCAAACAACACCACCACCACCACAAACAAAATAAACCATAGTAAAATATGCCTAACGTAAAATTTACCAGATTAACCATTTAAATGTACAATTCAGTGGCATTAAGTATATTCACGTTGTCATGCATCCATCACTACCATTCATCTCTAGAACTTTTTCACCTTGCAAAAATTGCAACTGTACTCCATAGACAATAACTTTTCATTCCCCTCTCCCCCAAATCCTAGCAAAAGTCACTCTACTTTCTGTCTCTATGAATTTGCCGATTCTAGGTACCTCACATAAGTGGAAAGCGGATCATACAATATTTGTTCTTTTGTGTCTGGCTGATTTCACTTAGCATAGCGTCTTCACAGTTCATCTGTGTTGTAACTTGCACCAGAATTTCATTTCTTTTTAAAGCTGAACAATATTCAATTGTATGTATAGACCACATTTTGTTTGTCCATTAATCCATTAATAGACACAGGTTATTTCCACCTAAGATGTTATTTTCATTTTCTGATGTCTCCCATCTCCAGGTAACTAGACAGAGCTGGACACAGCTGGGGAGTTGGAGTAGGGGGTGGGTTGGAGGTGAGGTAGGCGAGGAGAGAAAGAGGAGGCAGGGTAGGGAGCAACGTGTCTGTGCAGAGTGAGGCAGAGAGGACCATGCTCAATTCAGGCTCCGCTCTCTTGAGAGGCCAGGTAGGCAACTGTTTACACAAGTTATCTCATGTGAGACAAGAGCTGCCAGAAAAGTTCTACCAGCAGCAGTTTATCATAGTATTCTTTTTTTTTTTTTTTTTTTTTTTGGGACGGAGTTTCACTCTTGTTACCCAGGCTGGAGTGCAATGGCGCGATCTAGGCTCACCGCAACCTCCGCCTCCTGGGTTCAGGCAATTCTCCCGCCTCAGCCTCCTGAGTAGCTGGGATTACAGGCACACACCACCATGCCCAGCTAATTTTTTGTATTTGTAGTAGAGACGGGGTTTCACCATGTTGACCAGGATGGTCTCGATCTCTTGACCTCGTGATCCACCCGCCTCGGCCTCCCAAAGTGCTGGGATTACAGGCTTGAGCCACCACGCCCGGCTTATCATAGTATTCTTTTACCCCCATGTTCAGAACCCTTGGTTTAAAGAGATCCAGGACCAGGTACAGTGGCTCGCTTCTATAATCCCAGCACTTTGGGAGGCTGAAGCGAGAGGGTCAATTGAGACCAGGAGTTCAAGATTAGCCTGAGCAATGTAATGAGACCCCATCTCTTAAAAAAAAAAAAAAATAGCTGAGCATGGTGGCGCATACCTGTAGTCCCAGCTACTTGAAAGGCTGAAATGGAAGGGCTGCTTGAGGCTGCCATGGGTGATGATTGCACCACTGCACTCCAGCCTGAGCAACAGAGTGAGACAATGTCTTTTCAAAAAAAAAAAAAAAAAAAAAAAAAAGAGAGAGAGATTTAGGTACCTTTAGAATTACATTAATATTTCTGGCTGAGTGTGGTGGCTCACACCTATAATCCCAACACTTTGGGAGGCCGAGGAGGGCGGATCACCTGAGGACAGGAGTTTGAGACCAGCCTGACCAACATGGAGAAACCCCATCTCTACCAAAAATACAGAATTAGCTGGGTGTGGTGGCACATGCCTGTAATCCCACCTATTTGAGAGGCTGAGGCAGGAGAATTGCTTGAACCTGGGAGGCAGAGGTTGCAGTGAGCCAAGATCACACCACTGCACTCCAGCCTGGGCAACAAGAGTGAAACTCCGTCTCAAATGGACAAGAAAAAAAAAAAAAGAATTACATTACTATTTCTAACTAATAAAATTCCACTGAAGCCTACCAGAAAAACCTTTAACAGAACTAATAAAGCCAGTGTGATCATTTTAATCTTGTCCAGATGAGCAATTAGGGAAGCAAATTCGAATCCCTCATTACCTCTGAACAGCAATGTTTTAAACCTGAGTTTTCAATTTGACTGAAATGGGATTATGTTACAAGTTCTTCATGAATTTAAAAAAAAAAAAAAAAAAGAGGAGGCAATTCATAACATCAGGCCTTAGGCAAATTAGTCTGTAAGAGGTTCTGTAAGTAGAAATGTTAACAATTTCAGTACATTAACACATTCAACATGAGTATTTCTACATCAATTTAAACACAAAATCTGTAAGTGTTGCTTAATTTGGTTTTCACAATATCCCTATGGGGAGGATAAGGCAGGTATTAGTAAACATTTTACATGTGAGGAAACTACATTTAAGAAGATATAGCTGGCTGGGCACAGTGGCTCACGCCTGTAATCCCAAAACTTTGGGAGGCCAAGGTGGGTTGATCACGAGATCAGGAGTTCAAGATCAGCCTGACCAATATGATGAAACCTCATCTCTACTAAAAGTACAAAAATTAGCCAGGCGTGATGGGGCACACCTGTAGTCCCACCACTCAGGAGACTGAGGCAGGAGAATCACTTGAACCTGGGAGGCGGAGGTTGCAGTGAACTGAGATCTCGACACTGCACTCCAGCCTGGGTGACAGAGTGAGACTTCATCATCTCAAAAATAGAAAAGAAAAGGAGCTGGAAGCTGGATAACATATCTAAGATTATGTACCTAAGATATGGCAGCATTGGGACCCAGTGCAGTGGCTCACGCCTGTAATCCCAGAACTTTGGGAGGCCGAGGCAGGTGGATCACTTGAGGTCGGGAGTTTGAGACCAGCCAGGCTGGATGTTTTTAATCCTGGGAGAAGTGACAGAGGTAGGCCGAAAAGCGCTGTGGGCTGGGTGAAGTATTAATAACTTGCAAACTGTTTTCACAAGTCATCTCATGTGAGGCAAATAACATGGTTTGCACCTCTCATCCTTGGAAACTCAAGTAGTTGACTTGCCCAGGGACTAGTGAGCATAGAATGTAACCCAAACTTCCAAATGAAGTGTTCTCAACCTTTACCTGCATTCTAGAAGCAGAAACATATTTTTGTTTTTTAAGTTTTGTTTATGGTTTTTCAAAGACAAGTGTATTCTGAATTTAAACTAATAAAGGCAAAGCTGCTCTGATCCAAGGAGCTAAGGACTCCCGAACTTGTGGACCCCAGGGGGGTGCTGTCCACAAGTTGACCTAAGGGAGCCTAGGTGCAATCAACTGCTTTTTAGTTTGACCAGAACTTCCCAAGCCTTTATAAGCCTTATGGAAGCTCACCTCGGCGTCCTGTCTCCCCTTAAGCCATCAGTGTGGCATTTACCTTTCGTGCGGCAAAGCTGGCTATTTCCCGCCTTCCCGCTCCACGACCCCCGCGAATCCTTCAAAACTGCTTTCTCTAAGCAAGTTACCCAACTCCACACGGGGTTGTACTCTCTCTTTCTGGTGATTGCCCTGGGACCAGCCTAAAGTGATTGTTGAGCGCTTAAAATACTATGCGCTACACATAGCTAATGGTCTGTGACCCAGAGGGAGAGAAAGGAAAAACAGGTGACGAGCAGGTGGAGTGGTAAGGTGTGCAGCTTGTGATCCCAACGTGTCCATCAATTCTCTCCGTAAGCCAGGGCCGGCGGCGGCTCCCGGGAAGGCCCCAGCGTCCGAGGAACCAACCCTCAGAGCCTGGCTGTGGCTGCGCCTGCCTCCTCCAACCCTCCGGAGAGGCTGGGCTGCTGTGGGAGTCAGTCCCGCGCCGAGTCTGGAGGGCGGAGGCACCTGCCCACCCGAGAAGGCAGCGCACCTGCGGCTGGCTAGAATGAATGAAGCCGTACCTGACAGGCCGCAACCAAGGAGCTAGCGAGGCTCGCCTCCATGTGGGGTGGCTCAAACGGCTGCGAGCGATGGACAGATCACATCTCCTTTTGTCTAGCACTACGGGAGGAGAAAAACTTCTTGGTATTGGTGAATTCTGATAAATCTTCCGGGTAACTGCAACTTCTTTCTTTAAGAACCCAAGCTGCAAATTTTTAAAAACATTTTTGTTTTTGAAACATGTATTCCCTTTCATTTACCCTGATGTGGCTGGCTCTGGGTCCTCGCTGCTGAGGCTCTTTCACTGTTCCAGCTCAGGACCTCTAAGGTATGTGGGCTCCTCTGCTGCCCCCATCCCCACACCCTACCACCTGTTCGTAGGCGTCAGCATGCCCTGCTATTGCACCCATGCTACCTCTTGAGTCCCTTTTCTCTATTTTGCTGTCTTTAGTTTGTATAGGGTCAGGGAGCCAGTGTCAAACTTCTCAGAATTGGTTAATAAATAACACTAATAAATAGCCCAAGAAGTCCTCATATGAATTAAGAAGTGGCTGAGCTCTTGTACATTGAATTTTAAAACCACTCAAATGCCTTTAGGTTTTGTTTTTTTTTTTTTTTTGAGACAGAGTCTCACTCTGTCTCCCAGGCTGAAGTACAGTGGCACCATCTCTGCAATCTCGGCTCACTGCAACCTCCACCTTCCAAGTTCAAGCGATTCTCCTGCCTCAGCCTCCCGAGTAATTGGGACTACAGGTGCATGCCACCATGCCCAACTAATTTTTAATTTTTTTAGTGGAGATGGGGTTTCACCATGTTGTCCAGGCTGGTCTCGAACTCTTGACCACAAGTGGTACGCCCGCCTTGGCCTCCCAAAGTATTGGGATTACAGGCATGAGCCACCTCACCTGGCCAATCTGGTCAATCTTGACCTTTTTTTTTTTGAGACAGTTTAACTTTTGATGCCCAGGCTGGAGTGCAATGGCATGATCTCAGCTCACCAAAACTGCCGCCTTCCAGCTTCAAGCAATTCTCCTGCCTCAGCCTCTTGAGTAGCTGGGATTACAGGCATGTGCCACCACGACCAGCTGATTTTGTATTTTTAGTAAAGATGGGGTTTCTCCATGTTGGTCAGGCTGATCTCAAACTCCCGACCTCAGGCGATTCGCCTGCCTTGGCCTCCCAAAGTGCTGGGATTACAGATGTGAGCCACCATGCCTGGCCAGTCTTGACCATTTTAAAGTATACAGTTGAGTGGCATTAAGACAGTTCACATTGTTGTGCAATCGTCACCACCATTCATCTCTGGAACCCTCATCTTGCAAAACTGAAACCCCATGCCCATTAAACACCTTTCTATTCTCTTCTCCCTCCAGTTCCTGGAAACCACCATGCTACTTTATGTCTCCATGAATTTGACAACAGTATGTACTTCATGTAAGTAGAATCATACAGTTTTTGAGTTTTTGTGACTGGCTTATTTAACACACTGTTCTCAAAAGTTCATGCATATTGTAACAAGTGTCAGAAATTCCTTCTGTTTTAAAACTGAAGAATATTCCATTATATGTATAGACCACATTTTCTTTGTCCATTCATCCATCGAGGGACAATTGGGTTTTGGCTTTTGTGACTAATGTTGCTATAAAAATGATTGTGCAGATATCTCTTTCAGACCCTGCTTTCAGTTCTTTTGGGTATACACTCAGAAGTGGAATTGCGGAATCACATGGTAATTCTATTCATAATTTTTTGAGGAGCTGCCATACTGTTTTCTATAGTGGCTGTACTGTTTTATATTCCCACCAACAGTGCGCAAGGTCTCCAATTTCTCCAAATCCTCGCCCACACTTTTTATATTTTTCTGTCAGATGCCTTTTTTGCTAATTTATTCATTCTCAGTTGTCTTTCAGATAGTGAAAATTACTGGCTTTCAGATCTCTGGATTGGTGGGGGTATTTCCAGCATGAATCAATAAGCTAAGTAGATATGTTTCACTTCGGATAGTAGCTGGATAATACAAATTGTACATATGTATATATTTTGAGATGGAGTCTCGCTCTGTCACCCAGGCTGGAGTGCAGTGGCCCAATCTAGGCTCGTTGCAATACTCGCCTCCCGGTTTAAGCAATTCTCCTGCCTCAGAGGCTCCCTCAGAGGGATTACAGGGACCCGCCATCATGCCCAGCTAATTTTTGTTTGTTTTGTAGAGACAGGGTTTCACCATGCTGGCCTTGAACTCCTGGCCTCAGATGATCTGCCTGCCTCGGCCTCCCAAAGTGCTGGGATTCCAGGCGCGAGACACCATGTCCAGCCAAAAATCACATTTTAAATGTAAAAAATAGCTATTTAAAAGAAACCTGTAATGGATTCCTTTAAAATATCTTTTCAAAATTGACATTACAAAATAATAGGTGTTCACTGTAGAAAATTCGGAAATTGTAGAAAAGTAAATAAGAGTCATCAATAATGCCCCTGTCCAGAGATCATTTTAATGAACATGTTGGTGCATCCCCTCCATTCCATATATGCATATATACACATATATTCACACATACATATCTATCTATGTATCCACACACTGTGGTTTCTAAAAATTGTCATCATTCCATTCTTACAGTTTAGTAACCTGGTTTTCTCATTTCATAATTTGTTAAGAGCATTTTCCCATGTCATCAAAGCTTTACATAATCTTCCGATACATAATATCTAGTAGCTTTGTAGTAAGAATCCATAAAAATATAATCACTCATTATCTCTTTGGGAGGTTTTCATGTACTTGATTTTCTTGGGGATACTACAGAGTTTAAAAAAAATTAAGACAGATGCTACTGCTATAATGGCTCCTGCTAAATTGACCAGGCTGAAATGGGAGGATCACTTGGGGCCAAGAATTTGAGACCAGCTTAGGCAGTATTATAAGACCACCTGGCTCAAAAAAAAAAAAAAAAAGTAAATAAATAAAAGTAAATAAATAAACTAAATAAATTAGTTTTTATAGGAGCATTGCTAGGTAGACTCCTTTCCAAGAGTGTTACCGCCATTTCACAGATGTGAAAGACACCCACAGAGGATCTCTAGATCCTGGATTCTAAATGGCAGGATGATGGGCAACAATATTCGTATGGGAAAGAGACATGTAGAATAGGCTAATTCAATGCGGCATTCAAACTCAGAGGAGGAAGAAAATCCATAATTTGGGCAAAAACTCTTTAAATATATGAAGGAGACCTGGAGGTTTATTCATTGTTCTATAATTCCATGAGCAGCTTTTGCTTCAGAATTAAATGACAGTTAACAGTAATCCCAATGATGTTTTGATATTATCAGACCTTCTTGTACTCATGCCTTCATGTGTGTCTTTTTATAGGGCAATTGATAAATGGCAGTGTGCTTGAGATCCTTCTGAAATGCTTGGGGAGGATATTGTCACTGCTGCAGCTTTGTGTGTCTTGGGTCTTACAAATGATTTACCACTTACTAAATCTGAAATCCAAATTGTGGATTTGGCTCTGCTTGTTGCCAGCTAACAGAAGCTATAATACTGGAAAAAAGTTAAGAAGCTATCATAGACTGCCTCATTGTCTAACTTTATCTAGGATAATCACATAGAAAAAAAACTCCTGGATTTATAGATCAAAAACTGTGATAGAATGTTTGCATTATGGCCAGGCACGGTGGCTCACACCTGTAATCTCAGCACTTTGGGAGGCCGAGGCGGGTGGATCACCTGAGGTCAGGAGTTTGAGACTAGTCTGACCAACATGGTGAAACTCTGTCTCAAAAAAAAAAAAAAAAAGAATGTTTGCATTATTTAAAAATAAAATAGAGTATTTGTTATATTCCATATGAAAAGAAGTCTTCATCAGATTTTTATTTTTTATTTTTATTTATTTATTTTTAGATGGAGTCTTGCTCTGTTGCTCAGGCTGGAGTACAGTGGTGAGATCTCGGCTCACCACCACCTCTGCCTCTCGTGTTCAAGCGATTCTCCCGCCTCATCCTCCCAAGTAGCTGGGACTAGAGGAGCCCAACACCACACTCAGCTAATTTTTATATTTTTAATAGAGACAGGGTTTCATTATATTGGCCAGGCTGGTCTTGAACTTCTGCCCTTATGTGAGCTGCCCACCTCAGCCTCCCAAAGTGCTGGGCATGATTACAGGCATGAGCCACCATGCCCGGGCTTCATCATATATTTTAAACTTGATATACTTGAGTAAACAATTTTTTTATATTATAAATACTATAAATTAAAATTTAAGTAATAATTCCTAATAAAATTAAATGATAGATTACAGTTTTTTTTTTTTTTTTTAAGATGGGGTTTCCCCATGATGGCCAGGCTGGTCTTGACCTCCTGACCTCAGGTGATCCACCCACCTCAGCCTCCCAAAGTGCTAGGATTACAGGCATGAGCCACCGCACCTGGCCAGATTATAGTTTTCTAAGTATTAGCTTTCTTCTTCCTTTTGTCTTCCCTCAGACCATAAAAGAAGAAAAAACCCCACAATATATAGACATATATAAAGGCATAAACTTATAGGAAAGTGTGAGAATGTGCTGTTGCTGCTGCATTGTAGATTCAGACTACAAATAGTGACAAATCATAATTCTTCATGATCACATCTGCTAGCAAAGTTAACTGAAGAGAGTCCCGGTATTTTCATCTTATACTTCATCGGGAATAAGATGAAGCCCCTTGGGCCGGGCGCGGTGGCTTATGTTTGTAATCCCAGCACTTTGGGAGGATGAGGCAGGTAGATCACGAGGTCAAGAGTTTGAGACCAGCTTGGCCAACATGGTGAAACCCCGTCTCTACTAAGAATACAAAAATTAGCTGGGCATGGTGGCACATGCCTGTAATCCCAGCTACTCGGGAGGCTGAGGCAGGAGAATCGCTTGGACCTGGGAGGTGCAGGTTGCAGTGAGCTGAAATTTTGACACTGCCCCCCAGCCTGGTGACAGAGTGAACTCCATCTCAAAAGAAAAAAAAAAGATGCGATCCCTCAAAGTGTCACTGATAATTCAGCATTATCTAATTAGCACATTTGATCCATCATCCAGTTTTGTGATACATTCAAATATACTATTTTACTGGATTTCATAATATAAACATAGAATTTAAAATATATTAGAAACAAAATAAATCAAATATATTAGAAGCGGAAAGAGGCTGGGTATAGTGGCTCACACTTATAATCCCAGCGCTTTGAATGGCTGGAGCAGGAAGATCACGTGAGGCTGAGTTCAAGTCCAGGGTGGGCAACAAAGCAGAGACCCTGTCTCTACTAAATAAATAAATAAGCATCTGGACATGGTGGTGCATACTTGTAGTCCCAGCTGAGGCTGAGGGGGGAGGATCACTTGAGCCAGGAGCTGGAGTCTGCACAGCTATGATCGAAGCCTGGGTGACAGAGCAAGATCCTGTCTCAAAAAAAAAAAAAAAAAAGAAAAAGAAAATAACTGGAAAGTATTATAAATCAATGATTCTAACTCTCCCAATTTACAGATAAGGAAATGGAGGTCTAGAGAAGGTAAACAACTTGCTTAAAGGCAGATTTCTTTTTCTTTTTTTTTTTTTTTAAATGGAGTCTTGCTCTGTTGCCCAGGCTGGGGTGCAGTGGCACAATCTCAGCTCACTGCAACCTCCACCTCCCAGGTGCAAGTGATTCTCCTACCTCAGCCTCCTGAGTAGCTGGGACTACAAGTATGCACCACCACATCCAGATAATTTTGTATTTTTAGTAGAGACGAGGTTTCACTATGTTGGCCAGGCTGGTCTTGAACTCCTGACCTCAGGTGATCCACCCACCTTGGCCTCTCAAAGTGCTGGGATTACAGGTGTGAGGCACCATGCCCAGCCTAGAAAAGTTTTTAAAAAATATTTTTCTCCATTTATTTTTTTCCCTCAATGTTGATAATGTCATTCTTTCTACATTCAAATGCATCTCTGCTGCTTTATTTATGTATTTAGGCTTAATACAATGACTGGGTTATCTTTAATACTGCTTGTTTCAAAAATTCTTTATTCCTTATTATTTGCATTCTTCTTTTCATGATTTTTATTACACATCTAGGGAAAAAGTAAAATATGGAGGATAATAAAGGGAAAAAAGAGAATGACATTGCTCAGAATTTGTTATTATGCCATTATTTTAGGTTTTTCTCTATTCTTTTCCATCTTACTTCTTAAATGTGTGATTCATTGGAAAGAGGCAGAACTTGGTAAGAAAATGAGAAGAATTTAGCACTATTTTATTTCTATCGTCAGGGAGTAATCCCTCCTTTCTTTGAAGGAGAGTCTCTCTTCCCTCCCTC